GGGAGGCAGGAAGCTAAACTGAATAGTAAATGGAGAGAAAGCTCAACATTATACAGTGGAACTCCAGTTTTTGTATGGTCTGCATACCGTACAATTTGGATTTAGAACACTTTTTTGGACGAAATTTTTGTCCGGATTTCATACCTCAATCCAGAAATTGTACGTATCATACACGTCCACCCGCCCAGGATGCCGTCAGTCTGGCTCTGTCACTGGTTGAATGAGCATTCATCCGAAACATTTTGTAATTTTTGTGCTTGTTTATTGATTGCGACTGTGAAATGAGCCACCATAGGCCCAAAGAAAGTTCCTATTGCCAGCCCTATGGTAAAGGTGAGAAACACTATAGAATTCAAGAAAGAGATTGTAGAAAAATACAAAAGTGACATATGTTTAGCGGAATTTGCCAGGATGTATGGGAAGTCGAAATCAACAATCTGTTCCATCCTGGCAAAGAAAGTAGAAATAAAGGAAGCTAAAGTTGCGAAAGGGGTAAATGTGCCAACGAAACAGAAATCACAAACAATCGAAGATGTGGAGAAGTTGCTGATATGGATCAACGAGAAACAGTTAGCAGGAGATAGTGTTATGGAGTCGATCATTTGCAAAAAGGCAAGGCAGTTGCATGTGGATCTATTGAAGAAAATGCCTGGAACGAGTGCTGCTGTTAGTGAATTTAAGGCCAGCAAAGGCTTGTTCAACAGATTCAAGAAGCATAGTGGCATACACAGTGTTGTACAGCATGGTAAGGCTGCAAGTTCAGACAAGCGTGCGGCTGAAGAATTCATTGATGAATTCAAGGAGTAAGTAGAGGCTGAAGGATTCATCCCCCAACAAGTGTTCAATTTTGACTAAACACCCCAAGAAGGGGTGTTGGAAATGAATGGTTGTCCAGAGCAACTGGTATTAATTATTGGCTGGACAAGGATAATGCCATACCATTCATTGACACTGGGACCACTTCTATGGCCAAAATGACATGTATGCCAGGGATGATGTTCACTTATCCAGGGCAGGCGTGGGATTTCTTGCTAGCTCAGTTGAGGGTGTTGTTAGGACTTTAAACTAGGAGTATGAATACACTGACTTAGGCTTTGATATTAAGAAACTTAATAATGGTCATGGAGTTACGCTGGGTAATGATAATTATAGAAATTATATAAAAGCAAAGGTGAATAGGAAAAATGTGCAGAAGAAAAAACATATGACTATTTTATGCTTACAGTCGTAGTGCAAGAAATAAGATTAATGAATTACGTTTGATAGCATGTGCTAGGAACTTTGATGTCATTGCATTAACTGAAACATGGTATGATTTAAAGAGTCGGGATATAATAGCTGAGTGTAACATTCAAGGGTTTAAGTTGTTCCATGTGGATAGATACAATGGGAAGATGGGAGGAGTTGCATTATATGTATGAGAAAATAGAAATCGTTGCATGAAAACAGGTATAAAAATAGATGGACTAGTAACAGAATCAGTTTGGGTAGAGTTTGTAGAAGGTCAAGAAAAACTAAATCTAGTTGTAATATACCGACCTCCAGGCTTGAATCACAATAGAGGGAGACTTCTTTGGGATGAAACTGTTAGGGCTTCTAGACAATAACGTAGTGATAGTAGGGGATTTTAACTTTAGTCAAACTGACTGGACTTCTTTGACCGGTAATCTGGAGTCCAGTGACTTTATCGAAGTGGTTCAGGACTGTTTTCTGAAGCAGTGTGTAACAGTGTCTGCCAGGGGTAATAATTTGCTCGACCTAGTCTTGTCAAATAAGGAAACACTCGTAAATAATCTGTAGATCGTTGAAGAGCTTGGTGCAAGTGATCACAAATCCATCACTTTTAGCATTAACTGGGAATACAAGAATAACGATAATACGGTAAAAGTCCCTGATTTTCGTTCTGCTGATTTTAATGGACTTAGGGAACACCTGTCTAATCTCAATGGGGGTAATCTAGCTAATGATTTTCTTGACGATGATCATACTTACAATTACGAAGGGATCTGCTTTTATGATTTTTTCTTAATGTACAACGTGAGTACGGGAGCAAATTCTTGGGTAGTTTAGGGTAGGGGTGGTTTTGATAAGGACCTGCCTTGAATGAGCCAGTAGGCCTTCCGCAGTGTTCCTCCATTCTTATGTTGATTCTATTAGTGGGATGGTTTGTGAAGAACCTGCCTAGTATGGGCCAACAGGTCTGCTGCAGTGTTCCTGCTTTATGTACACCAGCCAGGGTACTTCCCCACACACACCAGCCTGGGCACTTCCCCACACACTAGCCAAGGTACCTCCCCACACACTAGCCAAGGTACCTCCCCACACACCAGCCAGGGTACTTCCCCACACACACGATTTGATCTGAGTGGGACTTGCACATGAGTGAATAGAATTATCAAAGCTTATTGCTTGGGAAGCATTGAAAATTGGGTTGGGCAAATACGATTCTGTTAGTGGGATGGTTTGTGAAGGACCTGCCTAGTATGGGCCAAAAGGCCTGCTGCAGTGTTCCTGCATTCTTATGTTCTTATGTACACCAGCTGAGGAAATTGCTTCAGAGGGGGAGAAAGAGAGAGGGAAGGAGGTGCCTTCTTCAAAGATTAAGAACATTTGTGTGAAGTGGAGTGAGGTGCAAGCATTTGCGGAGGAACATCACCTTAACCCTCTCCCCTCCTCCCATCTTCCATACACCAACAAGTGTTCAATAAAGGTAAGTATGATATTATTATTTCATACTCGATTTCTCATTCTTTTCTGTACATAAATTTATATTCAACCCCCTTGTCTGTCGCAACCCCCAATCCTGAGGCGTCTCCTGGTGTCGCAAAATTAAAAAAAAAAAAAAAAAATTCTTATGAAATGATAGAGAATCTTTTCCCGATTGTAATGACACCAAAAAAAAAAACGAAATTTGATGGAAAACTGACAGAATTACGCTCTCGCGAAGTTAGCGACCTCAGCGACATTTACAAATCTGCGATTTTGCCGACTTTGAGCCCTATTTTCAGCTAATTCCATTGTTCCAGTCGACCAAACTCATAGCTATTTCTTTAGAATTCCGTTTTTTCTATCGATTGAGTACAAGAAACTGTCCATTTACTGATTTTAACTACCCAATAATGTGGTCAGAAATTTGCAATTTGGCCAATTTCACGAAAATTAAAAAATATGACAATTTCAAAATAAGGTCTAGAATGAACAATGCAGACATTCCTGGCTCTAAAATAACATTTTCTTTGTTCATCAGTCACGTCTCCAGTTCCCTCTGATATTACTCTTTCTTTCCATTTCGAATTTTTATTCAAACAAAAAATAGATTTACTGTTATGCAGACTACTGCAATACTGTAATAATTGTACAAATAATGTCAACCCATTCATGACTGCATATTAGAATGGCTAGTTGGACATTTATTGGACAATGACATCATTTGTTTACTTTTGAGCATCGGCAAAAATCAAACATTTCCCCTATTTTGAGCTCCATTTCCAGGTTCTTTTTATAGTAAAACCAATCAAAATCACCTCTATTTCTATAATATGTTTTCCATTCTATCAAATGAGACCAAGAAAATGAGAATACAACCATAAATACTATACGAAAATAGACCACAAATTCGGCATTTTAATTAAAAAAAAACGGTCGGAGTTTTTTTTTTCTCATTATGCACTGCATGCTCCAGGATTTTTTTTATATGGTGCACACTGACCACACAGACCCATTCTCTCACATGTGGGCCTACCAGCTTTCTCCTGCTTGATTTGAAGCCGCTAGAATTTATGAGTATATATACGTCAAACACGGTACCTCGTAAGACGTATATATATATACAACCGAAACAGTCAAAGGGTTAATCTATAAAAAGATAATTTTTGTTAATACTTTTGGGTGTCTGGAACGGATTAATTGATTTTATTTTTATTAACACATCGGCCGATTCCCACCAAGGCAGGGTGGCCAGAAAAAGAAAAACTTTCATCATCATTCACTCCATCACTGTCTTGCCAGAGGAGTGCTTTACGCTACAGTTATAAAACTGCAACATTAACACCCCTCCTTCAGAGTGTAGACACTGTACTTCCCATCTCTAAGACTCAAGTCCGCCCTGCTGGTTTCCCTGAATCCCTTCATAAATGTTACTTTGCTCACACTCCAACATCACGTCAAGTATTAAAAACCATTTGTCTCCATTCACTATCAAATACGCTCACGTACGCGTGCTGGAAGCCCAAGCCCCTCGCACACAAAACCTCCTTTATCCCCTCCCTCCAACCCTTTCAAGGCCGACCCCTACCCCGCCTTCCCTCCACAAAAGATTTATACACTCTCAAAGTCATTCTGTTTTGTTCCATTCTCTCTATATGTCCGAACCACCTCAACAACCCCACCTCAGCCCTCTGGACAATAGCTTTGGTAATCCCACACCTTCTCCTAATTTCCAAACTACGAATTCTCTGCATTATATTCACACCACACGTTGCCCTCGGACCTGACATCTCCACTGTCTCCAGCCTTCTCTTCGTTGCAACATTCATCACCCATGCTTCACACCCATACAAGTTAATTGAATTTACATTATTTCTTATGGGGAAAATTAATTCAGAAATTGTCAGGTTCAGGTTTAGTCACTCTCTCTGGAACAGATTAATTACGAAAATTGGGGGTCCACTGTACTGTATTGTACCTTTTTGTTTGTTAATGCCTAGTTCTACTGCTAACTTAATATATGTTAGTGTAAACTTTCTATCTAGTATTTATATGCATTTATAAGGGGTGGAAAAAAAAAGGGTGTTTCACTTTATGGTGGTAGCCTGGAACCTAACCTGCCATATAAGTGGGATCCTACTGTATAAGAAAAATGCACACGCCCACACTGCTTTAAGTTCATATAACAGAAAACCGAATTTAAATACAGTGAACATTTTGTAAAAAGAGGAAATATTTCCAATAAAAAACAAAACGATACTGTAATAAAAAAAAAAGAACATGATTGTACTTACTATACCCGATTCCTTCATTTGTTGACGTCTTTCACGAGTTTGCTCCAATAGCAGATTTGCCTTTGTAGTTATTTCCTCTTGTTCCTTATTCAGATTTTCTATTTTAGCTATAAGTTGCTCATCAGGACTTGAGCCACAGGCAAAACTGATTTTTGTGTTGACTGCTGCATCACATTTATCAACCTGACAAGTACTGCAATTATTTTTCATATCTTGGTTCTGAATTACCCGTACTTCATGTGGTGAAGTTACAATAATTCGTGGTAAAGTTGCATTCAGAGATGCCCCAGTCTCTGTAGGTTTAGACACTGTCTGTTTAGCATGTGTGCTATGTGTTTCTTGTACCGGTCTGTCAATGAATTGCAGCCTTTTGGATATGGGTAATTTTGAAGCCCTCTTAACTTTTGAATTTCTGCCAACATTTTTGTGTGTGGGTGTTCGAATACACAATGCGCTAGCACTCTTTCTCCTGAGCCCTTTTCTTACAGGCATCTGCTCTTCAGCAAAAGTCACTTTTTTTGAGGATCCTTTTTCATGCCACTGCACATTATTGTCCTTTAATTCACTCATAGTTTTAGAGGTTGAATTTAATACTTGCTGAGAATTACTACTCTTGAAACAATCAACAGTAGATTTTAATGTCAATGAATTTATCTGAGAGCTCTTTGAATGACTGCCTTCAAAAGCAGCTTTAATTAAACTCTTCTTAGTTCTTGCTAAACTCTCGTTTTCTTGGTTGCTATGTGGAGGAGTGCATGTGTTATTCTCAGATTGCATATTTCTAAGATAAGGTAGTCTCTGAATTCCTGAACATGTTTTAAGCAAGGGTAAAAGACTCTTCTTAACTGGTTGAAGATGTGGCTTGTGCCATTCTTGAGATGAAGCTTGAATCATAGATGAACCTGACTGAAAAGAAAAAGAAATTAGGGCAATGTTTATTTAACTATATTCTGACTAATAATTATAGGGAATAATTAGGTATGCTAGAGTGTGGTAAAAAACTATCATATAAAGGAATGACAAGACAAGAAAGATTTTGCCAGTAACTAATGTTTCACTGAAGAAATTAGCCAGGAGCCCATACACTGTTTTGAACTTTACTCACAGTCATATTAGTTATATCCATCATGACCAGTGGTGCGGTATGAGCGTCTGAACCATCTTCATCTTCGCTTTCAAACTGGAGTGCATGGTAACATTCCTAGATGAATTACAAGGATATTACTTATACATGCCACAAACTCATTTTGCTGAATTACTCCTTTTAAGACAAGTGCCTTTATACTGAATAAAAACCCTTGATCAAAGTAAACTGAATGTCCATCTCTTCCTCAGATCAATCATGATTACTACATATTCCCAGGGTGCTACATGACCCTTGTGGGTTTACTGCTTCCCTGTGATTATAGTAATAATATTGTTGAACTCACTACACACTATTGTAAGCTCAAGGCCAACAGTAAGCATATGAGGAATAAGAACAGCCAAGTCAAACAAATACAGTAAGGTCATGATTTAACATAAAGAAATGCAGCAGACCTGTTGGTACATGCCAGGTAGGTCCACCTCATACCCACTCCATGTACTTGTCTAACCTATTTTTAAAGCTACCCAAGGAAGGTTATGCCTTCAATGATGCCATCTGGGAATTTGTTCCACTCATCCACAACTATTACCAAACCTGTGCTTTTCTAACTAAATTTTCCAGCTGAAACCCATTACTGAGAGTCCTGCCTTGGTTAAATATTTTTAGCATGTTATTTATAACTCATATTTATTCCTGTCCTAGGTAGTAGGTTAGTAGACAGCAACCGCCCAGGGAGGTACTACCGTTCTGCCAAGTGAGTGTGAAACAAAAGCCTGTAATTGTTTTACATGATGGTAGGATTGCTGGTGTGTTTTGTCTGTCTCATAAACATGCAAGATTTCAGATGCGTTTTGCTACTTCTACTTACACTTAGGTAACACTACACATACATGTACAAGCATATATATATATACACCCCTCTGGGTTTTCTGCTATTTTCTTTATAGTTCTTGTTCTTGTTTATTTCCTCTTATCTCCATGGGGAAGTGGAACAGAATTCTTCCTCCGTAAGCCATGCGTGTCGTAAGAGGCGACTGAAATGCCGGGAGCAAGAGGCTAGTAACCCCTTCTGTATATATTACTAAATTTGAAAGGAGAAACTTTCGTTTTTCCTTTTGGGCCACCCCACCTCGGTGGGATACGGCCGGTGTGTGGAAAGAAAGATTTATTCCTGTCTTCCACTTATACACCTCAGTCATATCCCCCTAATTCCACACATTTCCAAAGTGTTCGTATTTATTATCCTCGGTCTATCCTCATGGAAAAGATTTTTGATACATGTGTCACTGTTTGTGGAAGATGTAAAAACTAATGAGAATAATACAAGAAGATAGTGAAGAACAGGAGAGGATGATAAACTCCAGGAAGATCTGAACAGACTGCAGATGTGGTCAAACAAGTACTTTTGAGTTCAACCCCAACAAATACAAGGTCTTGCAAATTAGAGAAGGTGAGGGCAGAGAGAAGCTGCAAATATCAGTGTGGAAAGGACCTAGGGATGCACATAATAAAGCATATCACCAGAGCTACACAAACCATGCAACACCAATGGCATTCAAGATCTTTAACAAAAAATCCAGCAGAACCTTGTATACATGTGTTATTCCAATCAGTTATGCAGCCCCAGCATGGAGCCCACACCTGGTCAAGCAAAAGCAGAATCTCAAAAAAGGTCCACAAAAAGAATAGTGCCAGACCCAAGAGGAATACGATACAGGAAAAGTAGAAAAAACACGGACAAGGAGAGACATGATTACACCATACAAAATCTAAAGTGGAACTGATAAGGCAGATAGAAACAGATTGTTTGAATTAGGAGTACCAGGATCAAGGGGACACAAGTGGAAGCTGAAGACACAGATGAGCCATAGAAAGTTTTTCTTTAGCCTTTGGGTGGTTGAAAAGTGAAATTACTTGGTGGAGGACAATTCAAGAGAGTTTCAAGAGCTCTACTCCTGTAACTGCAAGCAAATAGGCAACAAAAAAGTGATTACATAAACAGTACATAAATAAAAATCTGCACTTTTAGCTGGGATAATATACGAGGAAAAACCAGGCTCACCCGTGATGACTGTGACTTTTCCATTTTTCGTATACAATTCCTCTGACTCCTTTCAGTACCTCCTGATACAAGAACATCCAGAAGGTTACTGGGCTGCTGAGGAGTTCTTGAGAGAATATCTGAAAATTTGAAAAATTTATATACAGTACTGCACTCCAAACAACTTGTTCCAACCATATACAGTGCTTTAAATAAAAAATAACTTTCTGTGATGCTCTCTTAGTTTACATCCTTTCAATTTCATTTCCTCTTAAGAATCCTCCTTCCATTAACCCTTTCAGTGGCCATCATGTAGAACTACATCATCGGGGCCAGGGTCCCTCACGTAGTTCTATGTCATGAGCTCAGCAAACTCAAAAGCTGTGAGTGGTAAAATCTGACCTAGATATGAGAGAATGGGTCTGTGTGGCGAGTGTGCACAGTATAAAAAAAAATCCTGCCCCCCACACGGTGCATGATGGGAAAAGCAAAACTGACCATGTGTTTGGTTTAAAAACAGCAAATCAGAGGAGTTTTCTAGGATGGTTTTATGGTTTTACTGGCTGTTTCTTGGTATCATTTAACCCTTAAACTGTCCAAACGTAGATCTACATTCACATGCGTAGCGCTCCAACCTTGATTTTCCCCATTTGAAAACACGTAAAAAAAAAAAAAACATAGATCTACGTTCGGAGCCTCCCGTATGTGGACGTAGATCTACGTTTGGACAGTTTAAAGGTTAATAAAATGGAAAACATATTACAGTGGAACCCTGGATTTCAGCCGTAATCCATTCCATGAGAATTAATGTAAATACAATTAATCTGTTCCAAAAATATTAACAAAAAATACATTTTTTAAAGATTAACTATAGTTTTACACACAGAACACAAAGAGAAATAAATATAAAGCACAAATTTTAATAAGTGAACATTACATACCTTTATTGAAGACTCTTGTTGGCGTATTGAAGAAGGCGAGGAGGGGAGAGGGAGTTGGGGTTAGTGTTTGGAAGGGGAATCCCCCTCTATAAGGACTTCAGGTATCAAAGCCCTCTCTGGGGTTACTTCCTTTCTTTGTTTTTTACTGGCACTAGGACCAACTAAGTGTATGGTAGAGTTATTATTGAAAGAATTAAGAGTAAGACGGAGAATAGGATAGCAGATGAACAAGGAGGCTTTAGGAAAGGTAGGGGGTGTGTGGACCAGGTGTTTACAGTGAAACATATAAGTGAACAGTATTTAGATAAGGCTAAAGAGGTCTTTGTGGCATTTATGGATTTGGAAAAGGTGTATGACAGGTTGGATAGGGGGGCAATGTGGCAGATGTTGCAGATGTATGGTATAGGAGGTAGGTTACTGAAAGCAGTGAAGAGTTTATACGAGGATAGTGAGGCTCAAGTTAGAGTATGTAGGAAAGAGGGAAATTATTTCCCAGTAAAAGTAGGCCTTAGACAAGGATGTGTGATGTCACCGTGGTTGTTTAATATATTTATAGATGGGGTTGTAAGAGAAGTAAATGCGAGGGTCTTGACAAGAGGCGTGGAGTTAAAAGATAAAGAATCACACACAAAGTGGGAGTTGTCACAGTTGCTCTTTGCTGATGACACTGTGCTCTTGGGAGATTCTGAAGAGAAGTTGCAAAGATTGGTGGATGAATTTGGTAGGGTGTGCAAAAGAAGAAAATTAAAGGTGAATACAGGAAAGAGTAAGGTTATGAGGATAACAAAAAGATTAGGTGACGAAAGATTGAATATCAGATTGGAGGGAGAGAGTATGGAGGAGGTGAATGTATTCAGATATTTGGGAGTGGACGTGTCAGCGGATGGGTCTATGAAAGATGAGGTGAATCATAGAATTGATGAGGGAAAAAGAGTGAGTGGTGCACTTAGGAGTCTGTGGAGACAAAGAACTTTGTCCTTGGAGGCAAAGAGGGGAATGTATGAGAGTATAGTTTTACCAACGCTCTTATATGGTGTGTGAAGCATGGGTGATGAATGTTGCAGCGAGGAGAAGGCTGGAGGCAGTGGAGATGTCATGTCTGAGGGCAATGTGTGGTGTGAATATAATGCAGAGAATTCGTAGTTTGGAAGTTAGGAGGAGGTGCGGGATTACCAAAACTGTTGTCCAGAGGGCTGAGGAAGGGTTGTTGAGGTGGTTCGGACATGTAGAGAGAATGGAGCGAAACAGAATGACTTCAAGAGTGTATCAGTCTGTAGTGGAAGGAAGGCGGGGTAGGGGTCGGCCTAGGAAAGGTTGGAGAGAGGGGGTAAAGGAGGTTTTGTGTGCGAGGGGCTTGGACTTCCAGCAGGTATGCATGAGCGTGTTTGATAGGAGTGAATGGAGACAAATGGTTTTTAATACTTGACGTGCTGTTGGAGTGTGAGCAAAGTAACATTTATGAAGGGGTTCAGGGAAACTGGCAGGCCGGACTTGAGTCCTGGAGATGGGAAGTACAGTGCCTGCACTCTGAAGGAGGGGTGTTAATGTTGCAGTTTAAAAACTGTAGTGTAAAGCACCCTTCTGGCAAGACAGTGATGGAGTGAATGATGGTGAAAGTTTTTCTTTTTCGGGCCACCCTGCCTTGGTGGGAATCGGCCAGTGTGATAATAAAAAAATAAGGACCAACTAGAGTCATTGCACCCCTGTTGCACAAAAAAACTGACAAGAGAGGTCTGTTTCTGGTGTCTCTAAGATTTGCCTGAAGTGGGACAAGGTTTTGTCACTGAATTCTATCGTGTTTCTCACTTTCTTTACCAAAGGGCTGGCACTAGGAAGTTTCTTTGGGGCCCATGGTGGCTTACTTCGCAGTCGCACTCAATAAACAACCACAAAAAACAATGGATTATGATGAAATGTTTGGATGAATGCACGAAATGTTGCTCACTCACCCAGAGACACAGCCAGACTGACTCACAAATGGGGCAGAGTGGCAGGCGGACATGTCCAATGCAGCTAATTTCCGAGTTTCCACCTGAAATCCAGGACAGAATTTTGGCCAAATAAGTGGCCGAAATCCAATTTGGCCGATATCCGGGGTTCCACTGTATTGAAAAAAATTATTCTGGTTGGCTTCAAGACCAGAAGTAACTTGAAATTAGGATCAAAGTACCAGATATATTCAATTTTTTGCAGATTTTCTTGAGAATAAGCAAGGGGCCCCCTACACCCTTCCAATCTGTTATGGGTTTTTAGAACATCTGATTAAATTATTGGGATGCCATAAACCATGACCAATCATTCTTGGTTATACAGTGAACCCCTGCGTTTCAGCGGCCATGACTTTCGTGAAATCCGATTTTCGGCAACTTTTTTCGGCAAAATATAGCCTCACGGTTCGTGATTGGCCTCGTGATTCAGCGATCATTTGGTATGCGTCCAGCGTCAGCGCACACACAAAGCCAGTCTCCCGCACCGTTCACACTCAGTATGCCATTATTTATCAGTGAGTGACCATCCTCCCACACATTCATACATTTCGTGATGTTCCACTCTTTTTGTGCTTCCAACTGCTAAATAAGTCACCATGGGCCCAAAGAAAGCTATGCCAGCCCTTTGGTAAAGAAAGTGAGAAACACGATCAAATTAAAGAAAGAAATCATTGTAAAATATGAAAGTGGAGCGCATGTTTAAGAGCTTGTCAGGATGTATGGCAAACCCCATTCAACCACCACTTTGATCGTGGCAAAGGGAAAGGAAATCGAGGAAGCTGTTATTGCAAAAGGGGTAGATATGCTGACAAAAAAGATATCACAAATCCTCTAAGAAGTGGAGAGGTTATTGTTGGTGTGGATTACCCAAAAACAGATAGTGTTATGCCATCGATAATTTGTGAAAAGGCAAGGCAGTTGCATGACGATCTCGTAAAAAAAATGCCTGCAATGAGTGCTGATATTTGTGATTTTAAGGCCAGCAAAGGCTGGTCTGAGAGATTTAACCCTTTCAGGATCCGTGCAGTAGATCTATGCCAAAATCCTAGCGGCGACAAATTTAGCGCGAGAAGGCTGGTAGGCCTACATCTGAGAGAACAGGTCTGCGTGGTGTGCGCGCGCCGTAAACAAAAATTCTAGGCACCCGCATGGCATTGTAGGAACACCGCCTCAGTAACCTTTGTTCACCATGCCTTGCCGCAAGGCAGCTCTCACTCCGAGGCGAATTGGGGCTCTCCTCTTCGTAACTGATAGTTCCGACTCTGATGGAAATGGAAAAAAAGAATAATTCTATAGCTTTGATCGATTAGTGACCGAAAGCAATGACCAGGATATTGAAAATAGTGCAGAAAATCCTGACAATCCTCAACCTTCTACCTCTGGTGTGGGCACGTCTCAGTCACATTCAGTTGTACCTCGTCACAAGAGAAAACTAATATGTTCGCGTGGCCAGGCCTCAGACTTCAGTAATGATGATGATAGTGATGGGGACTGTGATTTTATTGCTCTTGATGATCATTCGAGTAGTGATAGTGATGAATCATATTCACCAGTGAAGCGTTGGTATATACACCACCGCATGCACTCGGGTAGTGTTCCCTATGCAGTGCCCAGGGGACGGAGTACATCCCAGAGTACATCCCGTGGCCCTATACCAGGAACTGACAGTGAAAGTGAGGATGATAAGGCTATACTTGGCATGGATAGGCCACAGGCATCAGTAGGTGGTGGTATTGGTGGCAATAGTAGTGGTGGTAGTGCCACGGCCATGCATGACTCACCAGCCCAGGCTGCCACCCATGCCGCTGACTCCTCAGCTCAAGAACAAAGCGGAGCGTCATCCACCACCACACCACAACTACAACTACAACCACAACCAGCTTACGATGTCCAGTATCCACCAGCAAACCGCATCTGGGATTAGCAGCAAAATCCCAATTTTGTTCCCAATCCCCATCAGTTTGATGACTCAAAGTGGAATCCTACCAGCTTGTTTCCTTGGAAACACTGCAAATGAACTGGAATTCTTTGAACTAGTATTCTTTGACCAGCCCTTGATGGAAATTATTGTCAGGGAAAGTAACAAGTATTTTGAGTACACCATGGCAAATACGATCATATCACCACAGTCAAGACTAAACTGGTGGAAAGAGACAACTGTGGCTGAAATGTATGTATTTGCTTTTTGCAACAATAATGCTTATGCCTCAT